CCGTATCCGTAAGCTTTATGGAAATGTGCAGAAATACGGAAGAAATGAACACGGAGCACGAACAGAAGGCTCCGTCCGTATCCGTATCCATTTTTAACATTGAGCATAAATGAGCCCTAAGAGGTAATCAAAATGATATAATATCAGATCATTAAAAATTGTATGATTTCTCTAAATCAGTACAGCTGAAGCCTCTAGTGTTGCCTACAACCTGTCAAGTTACATCAGCTGATCTCAAACAGCTCAATCACCTGATGGAGCAGCTGACTGATGGAAGGGAGTCAGCTGATGGATCACATGATTCCTTTCTATGGAACCAATTGGCGAATCTCATTCAGGGCGCCCTATTTAAACTGCTCTGGCCTGCCTACTGTTGCTGCTTCCTCTGCAGCTGCTTTGCAACCCACCTCCACCCCAGCTCCTCATTTTCATGTTGTGTCTGACTTATCAATGTCATTTCTGTTTGTCATTGATGCTGCTCTGTTCTGTTCCTGTTGGCTTTCCATGTAGGCGCATGGAAGGGCAGGGAGGTGTGCTCCATTTCACAGCGGTCGAGCTCCTTGGCAACAGCAAGTCCACTTGAGAAATTGCATGAGAATGGAATAGACACAGGGTCACAGTGACCTTGACCTCTGACCTTTGATTACCAAAATCTAATAGTTAGTCCTTGAGTCCAAGTGGACGTTTGTGCCAAATTAAAAAAAAAAAAAAATCCCTCAAGGTGTTATCTGAGGTATCTGACAAGGTGCTTTTAAAAGAAAATCCTACATTTACATGCATCCCAAATGATCCCTGTACACACGCTGAGCATTAAAATGCTTATGAGACACCATGTCTGTCATCATGTCTTACCTTTCACTTTGTTAGCTAGTGTTTTCCACTCAGCTGGGATAATTGAAAGAGATTTTATGGCACTTGATTGTTTATTGTTTAAAAGCATTAAAAGCCTTGACTGGCCGGTTGTTTTCAACAGTCTTGTAAAAGTTGAGTTAATTGGGCTGATCACTGCAACTGACTGTGAGCGTATTTAATTAAAGTGCAGCTTGTTATTTTAATGGGCAGCAAAGTGAGCATAAATATGTTTAAAGGGTTTGCACACACTTATTTTTAATTTGTTCATTTTAAATTGATCTTGTTTATGAAGTCTGTGTAGTGTTTTTTTGTGCAGGAAATATTTAATAATCTTTAACAGCAAAACTAAGTTTGACAAACCTAAACTAGACCAAAGTACATGCCTGAATCAGCCAGTGCTCCTTTAACTAAGAGCTCTTCTACTGTGCATGTTGGAACAGCCTCCACTAGTCTGGGCTGATGATCCAGGAAACTGTTCAGATGTCCTGCTTTGTTTCCCAATAGAGCTTTTCAGATCTCCACACAAGGCTTAAAGTATTTACAGCGCTGCAGTCTGCTTTTCCTCTAGCAAAGCCTCCCTGAGGACGGCATTACAGCTAATGGGAGAGATATGGCCAAACAGATGGAGCTGGCATGTTGCAGAGACCCATCCAGTGTCTCTGAGACTTTGAGATGCTTCCTAGTTTGTTTGTTTATTTTAGAGAGTTGGACAATTTTTTAGGTTAAATCTCAAATATTATTTCCCTCACAGGACTTAATGGTTTAATTGTGAACCAAGTTCCAAACTGGATGGTGTCATTTGTAAAGAATTAGAAGGGTGAGGAAAATTCCCCTGAAGAAATGTGACATTGTGAATGTGCTGTGCCGTTAAAAGAAGTGTCATTTTGACTTTTTAATGGAATATACAGACTTCTGGTTTCATTTTTTCATTCTGAAAATGTTTATTTTTTTATTTTTTATAATCAAGTGTCTTTCTGTTGCTCAGTGATAGAGAACAAAAGAGACTTGGTTAATGAAGGAGAAAATACTGTTTACAAATACAGACACACATACAAAATTCAGCCCCAACAGCATGAGTGGTAGCACAGATTTAGGCTATAAAGACAGCTATTATACAACTATTTACATGAACTGCTCTGCAGTTTGAAGTCTCTCTAAGGATGAATTTAATCATCAAAACCCGAATGCATTTATACATTTGGTAATAAAGCACCTTTAGTTTTCATTTTGATATGTTGGGTTGTATGTTTACAAGGTCAGTTCACCAAAATTACAAAAAAAAGTGATTTCCCCCTTAACCCTAGCTGTGCAGATGATCTATTTACATTTAAACGGTTAGTTATCCCCAAATCAAAAACACATTTTTTTCTTCTTCGTGCTGTTAAACAAATAAGATTATTTTGGTGTGAGATGCCAAGTGTGGGAGATATCGGCCGTAGAGATGTCAGCCTTCTCTTAAATATAATGGAACTAAATGGCACTCAGCTTGTGGAGCTCAAAGCGCCAAAAATACTTTTGAAAAGACAAAGATAATCCACAGACCTTGCTGTGGATCTATTTTCTTCCCAAAAAACTACAAGCACCAACTGCATCACTGCGCAGAAGGAAGTGTGCATCTACTGCTAGCTCACCTAGCACCACTGGGCTAGCTACCGATACAGCTCAGCTGCGGAGGACGCCATTAATGTTTACATCTGATGCTGTCACAAGCACAAGCCTCTCGTCCATGAGTAGATGCACATTTCCTTCTGCGCCATGATATGGTTGCCAAGTGTAGCTTGGTAGAAAGAAATAGTTCCTACATGAAACTGCTCACAACAAGGTCTGTGGATTATCTTAAACCAAGTCATGACTTCTGGAAAGAAACATTGCTGTTGAGTTTTTCAAGTGTATTTTTTTTGGCACTTTGAGCACCACAAGCTGAGCGCCATCTAGTTCCATTATATTCAAGAGAAGGCAGACATCTCCATATCTCTGATATCTCCAACACTCGGCAGCTAACACCAAAACAATCTAGACTGATAAATAGCACCACAGGTAAGTGATAAAACATGTGTTTTTGATTTGGCATTGCACTGTCCCTTTAATGCTGTTTTTAGAGTTTCAACAGTTTTCACTGTTTCTTCAATAGAAAACAGCCTGTGTAAAAAATATTGACAAGAACCAAATTATGTTAAATGTCATTTTTTAATGCTTTGAATTAAAAAAAAACCAAAATCTCTATTATAAGTCTTCTGGTTTGGTAAATCAGCATGTATTTAGGAAGATATTTAAGGTTCAGAAGTGTTTGCACATGGTGCAGGATCTGACCTAATTAGCCACTGATGTTACACACATGTGATGCACCAGGTGAACAACAATTGAGCTGACACAGGGAGGATGAATTCTTTATGTTCACAACAATTTAAGTTATCTACCATACTTAACCATAAACTAAAGCCTGCCCTGCCCACATCAGCAGTGGCCTAATGCATTTTCAGTTAAAACCATCCATCCATCTTCTAACCGCTTCATCCTCTTGAGGGTCGCGGGGGGCTGGAGCCTATCCCAGCTGACAATTGGGGGAGAGGCAGGGTACACCCTGGACAGGTCGCCAGACTATCGGAGGGCTGACACACAGACAGACAAACAACCACACAGACAACCATTCACACCTACGGACAATTTAGAGTTATCAATTAACCTAATCCCCAGTTTGCATGTCTTTGGACTGTGGGAGGAAGCCAGAATGCCCGGGGAAAACCGCCCCATTAAAACCAATTCAATTTAAAGTCACATAACCAAAGGTTTACTCATTTCTATAAATAATTGAAAAATATCAATTTCACCTCCTGTGCCAACAATAAAATATTTGTGGCCACCTGAGAGCTACTGTGGACAAAAGATAACTTTCCTGACCACTTTAAAATTGTGAATTAAATCCAAAATAATAACTGTAATTTAAAAGCTTTTCTTTCTTTTTTTTTTAACATAGGTTACCAATTTCCTTAAATATTTTCTTCCACTGTTATCATGACATGCTTGCATCCATTCAGATCTACTTGGCTATTAGAAATATGGACACACAGACCCCTGGCAGTAAAAAGAGAACATACCCCACACAATAAGAAGGACTATAATTGAGGTCAGGTTGAGGCCCAGTTCCTCGGAACCAAGTGGACCTGTGGAAAAATAGCTTGCAGTATCTTAATGTGTTAGGTACATTAGTATAACATTAGTGTATCAGAATGACATACAGATATTCATCTAAAGGCTTAACAACTATTTGAACTCTTTTTGAATGTCATCAGCCTGTTATCAGTTGTTATCACTAACATTATGATACTTCAGATGAGACAAACTGCACTTACCAGTAGGCCAGAAGGTGCAAGTAATGTGTATGTTTGTTACATGGTTTAAGTTTTGTACGTAAGTTTACTTAGAGTATGTGTGTCACATATATTAGTGCATTCTGTAAGTTATGTATGATAAAAAAAACCCTCAACACTAGGTGGGTTTCCATCCACCTATTTTTATTCGCATTTTCAACAATTGCGAAAAGAAACTTGAATGGAAACGCCAGAAATTCAAAAAAGGGCCGAAATATCGCAAAAAAGTTTTTATGCTTGGAGGGGGTGGAAAAGTCAGCATATCGATATTAGGAAAATGCAACTTTTTGCAATGGAAACAGATTTAGCGAATAAACAATGACGTAGGCTACTGAATCCTACTTCTACTTCACACACACACCTGTGTGAACTTAGAGAGAGGTAATTACTCCAGTGTCAGGTGAGTGTAGGCTATTTCACAGCTTACCTGAATAGACTGGATGTGTTGAATACCGCTGCATCATGTGCGCTGCCTGGTGTACCAACACAGACATCACAGCATTAAGTAGGCTGCGCTGACAATGCTGATATGAGTGTGATGAGAGCTCTCGCAATAGCCAAGAAGTTCCCAAGGAATCTCTCCATCTCGTCGTAGTCATGGATGTGCTAGTAATTGTTTACATCAGTTGTGGACATGAGACGCTCTCAATGACGTCATCTCACGGCGCCCTCTTCTTCTACGGGTGTTCTTTTGCATTTTATTTTTCATGAGAAGCGCCACCTTCTGCTCGACCTGTTGACTCCCAATACTCGCAAAACAATAATGAATGGAAACGTGTATAAATTTGCATTTTCTTTTGCACATTTTCACAAAATTCGCTTAAAATTTGCGATACATTTGGATGGAAACCCAGCTACTGACTTCTGGTTTCACTTGGTACATGAACAGCAGTCTCCTGGATGAAAGTCCTGTGTTTGTCTGGCCAATCCACCCACCCCGAGCTCCTCCCTATGTGGACTTTGTTGCTCTTTATACTTCCTCCTTTGCTCCCATCATTATTATGAAGGCTTCTAGAGGCCGCCACCTAACAATAAACATAAATATACTGTAGGAGGTAATCTATGCCACAGATGACAACTGACAGCAGCCATTTAATGGGTTAATAACATTTAAATCAGTTGATTATATGTATGGTTAGACACCATCAGGGGTGAGTGGGACGATGTGTTTTTGCAAATTGGGTGAACTGACCATTTGAAGCTCGATGTTTTTCTAAAAGGTACCAAGGTTTGTTCGAGGTGTGACAGCAGTCTGTCTGAACACATTTTAATCTGACAGAAACTCTCTATTCATAACACAGATACATAATTGATTGCACAGATGTAGAATTCCTGATACATGATACAACTTGTGTTAAAACACAAAGTCCCTGAAAGGAGTGATCCAAGAGGAAAGTAGCACAGCACAGCAAGTAGGAAAAAGTGATTTTCTTTGTACAAAAGTGTAGTGCAAAGGAAGTCATTTAACATTCTTTCCTAATTGTGTGCTGTGCTACCTGTCTCTATTTTTTGTTCCTTTTGATTGTAATATTTTTAGGGCAGTCCTCATTTAAGAAAGCACAGTAAATTCCTCTCCAGGCTGAAAGGGATTTACAATAAGCACCACACTTGTATTGTCCTCTGTAGTTCTCCTGTCTTAGCATAAAGCAGTATCCATGGCAAAAAGATCAAGTAATCCCAGCCAGAGATTCTGCCACTCCTCTCATTATTCCCTTTGTCCCATTCTCACTGGATGCTAGGTGCCACCAGGTATCCATTGAAGGTGATGTAAACATCCACGTCGTCACTGTAAATGGCGTTCTCCCTCTCCCTCTTGTAGAGTCGGACCCAGACCTCGTCGTTCAGTGCCAGATCCATCATAACACTCTGGCTCTGCATGATGGACCTCTCACTGGGCTGAGCGTACAGGATCACCTGCTCCTTGTCGTTGTGCATCAGGTGGAGGTAGGTCTCCTTAAAGTTCCAGGTGTGAATGTTAACGTTGAAGAAGTAGATCCCTGGCACGTAGCAGTAGAACTTGCCCTTGAACATGTTGAAGTGCCCGTGGAGGTTGACGAACACCGTGTCGAACACCAGCGCCTGGTAGTAGTCGATGCTGTGCAGGGACTTGCGGCGTCCCACTGAGAAGGAAGAGTAGGGGATCTTGCAGGCGTCTCCAGGTGCACCCACCTGGCCTTTGGTGCCTTTAGGGCCCATGGGTCCTCGGTGGCCGGGAGGTCCCTCTAAACCGGGCTTGCCAGGTGTACCCTTGTCACCTCTGTCTCCTTTATCACCTGCGTGGACAGGAAGGAACACAAGTGAGTGGTGCAGACAGAAACATCTGGAGCATAATCTTTTTCCTTTTTTTTTAATTTAACTTCATTGGTGGAAAGTAACTAAGTACATTTAAGTATGCAGAACATTGAAGTACTGTTCTGAAGTATGTATTATAAGCGGCTATGGAAATGAATGAATACTGGTACTAGTAAAGGATCTGAACATTTCTTCCACCTCCTTTTTACTTGAGTGTAAGTAGGAGCATTTTAATATTTTGGCTTCTATGTTTTTTTTCATAGAGGAAGAATTAGATATTGCTTGCTGAAATAACACTGACATCCCTGTTTTTCAGTTGAGATGTTAATTAGTTCTCATTGTGCCCAAAAACAGTCAGCGCTGGTCCAGACTACATGATTTCATCCCTAATTGTCTGTAGTGCAGCTGTTATTGACTAAACAACAGGTCCAAGCTCTTGTTACAAAGCAGTCAATTCATTTTGACATGCACATGATGCCATTAAGCCTTTCTGTCTTTTATAATGGTTAATAATTTCGGAAATGGACATAAATTTCAGCAAAGCTTTCACGTCTTACGTTCCAAATCCTACTCATAAATCTGAGGTAATTTTGTTGAACCAGTGCTTATCCTAATTTTGTGCTCCTTGTAGACTGTGAGACAAAATGTTCTGACAGAGATGTGTAAGGAGGATCTGTCTGGAAAATGTGTTCAGGTGCCAGGAGTTTTAAAATGCTGAGTCAAACCCTGTTTTATGTAATCTATGACCTTCATTGGCCTCTACTGAGGACCAGTAGGAACTGCAATAACATTTATCTACGGTAATTTATTTCCGCAAGAGGAGCTTGTAATGCCAAAGGGTATCAAACATCACAGTAATAGGTTACAGGTGAGATTTTAAAGTCTCAGGAATTTTAGCACCTGTCTGGAAAGTTTAAATATAGCTTTTATCACCAAGCTTTACCAACAAAAACTGAATCCTTATACGAGACAACTTAAGTTTAGTGTAAATTAAAGGGTATTAAAGGAACAGTGCGTAGGATCCATTGGATTTCGTAGAATCTTGCGGTGAGGATTGCTAATTGTTATGTATCAAGCTTGAACTCCTGGTTAATATTCCTGAAGTGTTCATTGTTCAGGACATTTTTACCGAGAGCTGAATTATGTACAAAGGTCTCTTCCTCTCCAAAACAAATGGACCAGGTGATCAAAACAGGTAAAAACACTGAACAAAGCAGTTTCACATTTAAGTCAGTGTTTCTCTGACACTGCTTGGCTCCTTGCAGATGGGCCACTAGCTAAGCACCTGCCAATGTGCGCTCACCTTTTTTCTCTGATAATTTAAGATCTAAACATTAAGTCGGTTTTTACCAAAAGCCGAATTATCCGCAAACCTGAAGATTTAAACCAGTAAAAATGCTGAATAAAGCAATTTTACGTTTCAAATAAGTGTTTTTCCTATGCTGTTCAGCTTTCGGCGGAGGGGCTACTAACTACAGTGGCTGTCGCGAAAATGTGAATGGCTCTATCTAAAGCCAGTGTTTAGTTTGTCCTTTCTGGGCTACTGTAGAAACATGGCAGTGCAACATGAGGATATCCATGTCATATCCTTGACCCACTCCCTATTTAGATATAAACGGCCCCTTCTACGGTAACAAAATATGAGGATTCTTATTTACACTAAGAAAAACATACTTATTATATTATTTTCCATTTCTGTCATTATATATCTCTAAACACTGGACTGAAAACTGATTCTGACTTTGATTTTTTTCTGATAAATTCTCTTAAATCCTGCGCTAAATAAACTATTTACAATCCAATTGGATTATTTTGAAAAAAAAAAAAAAAATTAAAAAAAAGCTGAAAACAGGCCTCTTTTTCTGAACTTATGTTAATTTCATTTTTGGGAGATTTGTGATTATGACACAAGAGTGATGTACACAAGAGGTGTTGGTGTTCAGGCATTAAGACCAATTCCCTTTTTTATTTTCATCTTTTGTTATGTTGCAGACTCATGCTAAAATTATCAATCTACACAAACTTCCCCAAAAACCGGATTTTAGAGATTTTTGCAAATTCACTAAAAGTAAAAAACTGAAAAATCACTGACATAAGTCAGACCCTTTGCTACTACTCTTGAAATTGAGCTCAGGTGTTTCCCATTTCTCTTGATCATCCCTGAGATGATTCTACACCTTGATTGGAGTCCATCTGTGGTAAATTCAATTGATTGGACATGCTTCAGAGAGGCACACACCTGTCTAAATAAAGGTGTCACAGCTGACAATGCACATCAGAGAAAAAACACATGAGGTTGAAGGAGTTGCCTGCAGAGCTCAGAGGTATCAAGGCACAGATCTGGAACTAGAACAAAAAAAAAAAGTTCCCAAGAGCTGAGTGACCGCTGCAATTCTTAAATCCTTGAAACATTTAAATATATGTTTCTCCACCTGTTCTCCACCATTTCATTCATTTACTCAGATTCACATGTGGTACTGTTATAATTGTTAGTTGGAGGTGTTAGTCCTCAGTGGCTCTCTTCTTGTTTATATCCTGCTTCCAAGTTGGATTCTGTTTTGCTGCCACAACAACCAAACACTGTTTGTCTGCATGGATTTCGAAATTCTATGTGACTTGACAGCACGCTCTGAAAATGATTAATGGGCTTATGTATGTTTGCTTGTCACCACTCCTGACTGAAATGTCGCTGGTTAAGTGAACATTTTAAGGGTTTGCTATTGTTCAAAGGGTACAAAATCCTCTTTGCTATGAAAGTGACAAGTGACACTGCTTATTGGACTTCATAAGCTCCATCACCGTATCAGTGCGGAGCAGCTGGAATAAAAAAAGCCCGTGAGCTAAGCAAACACTTTCAATGATAAACAGAAGCGAATAAACTGAGAAACACAACAGACTATAATAGCTGGAGGAAAAGTGAGTGACAGGAATTTTACCTGGGTAAAATTTAAAACTCCATGGATGTAAACCTTCAGTAAATATATAAAATATTTAGCTCTTTGAGAGAAATCTCTCTATGTAGGTCCTAATGCAGTCATGAGTTAAACGTCTCTGGGTTGGGTAAACCACACAGGAAGAAGCCACAGTGCTGCCCTCGCTTCCTGGACACCCGAGGTAAACATCAGTGATCCTCTGTACAGATGCACAATTATCTGTCCAGCTGTGACCAGTATCCACACAAAGAGCCCTGGGGAGAGTTAAAGCAGTTTCCACAAACAGCAGCTTAGCAGCACCACTACACTAGAAGGCCATATATGGCACCTTTGTCCTGAAAACAAATAACTTCATGCTCACCTAAACTTCTGACCAGATAGAGTGTATATAATGAGAGGTTTGAGTATATAGCATGAAAGTCAAACTATATAGAATGAAAGTTTGAATATATGGAATTAATCATAAATGTTTATGTAGAATGGACCTTATATAGAATCTAACTTAAATATATGGACTATTGAAAGTCAGAATATATGTAATTAAAGTTGGAATATATGGAATGAACCATAAATGTATATGAACTACGGAAAGTCAGAATATACATGATGAAAGTTGGAATATGTGGAATGAACCTTGGATGTATGGAATCAAATTTACATATATGGACTATGGGAAGTCGGATAGAATGAAAATTGTAATATATTGAATGAACCTTGAATGTATGGAATTAAAGTCTGAATATGTGGAATGATCCTTTGAATGTATGGAATACAACTTGAATATATGAACTACAGAAAGTCAGAATATTTATAATGAAAGTTGGAATATATGGAATGAAACTTGGATGTATGGGTTGTAAGTCTGAATATATGGGATGAACCTTTGTATATTTGGAATAAAACTTGAATATATGAACTATGGAAAATCAGACTATATACAATGATGAAAGTTGGAATAAATGGAATGAGCCTTGGATGTATGGAATTAAAGTCTGAATATATATGGAATAAAACTTGAATATATGAACTATGGAAAGTCAGAATATATACAATGATGAAAGCTGGAATAAATGGAATAAACCTTAAATGTATGGATAAAACCTGAACATCTGAACTATGAAAAGTCAGAATATATATAAGGAAAGTTGGAATATAAGAAATATACTTTGAATATATTCAATTAAATATATATACAGACTGAAAATTAGAATAAATGGAATGAACCTTAAATGTATGGATAAAACTTGAATATTTGAACTATGAAAAGTCAGAATACAGTACAGGCCAAAAGTTTGGACACACCTTCTCATTCAATGCGTTTTCTTTATTTTCATGACTATTTACATTGTAGATTCTCACTGAAGGCATCAAAACTATGAATGAACACATGTGGAGTTATGTACTTAACAAAAAAAGGTGAAATAACTGAAAACATGTTTTATATTCTAGTTTCTTCAAAATAGCCACCCTTTGCTCTGATTACTGCTTTGCACACTCTTGGCATTCTCTCCATGAGCTTCAAGAGGTAGTCACCTGAAATGGTTTCCACTTCACAGGTGTGCCTTATCAGGGTTAATTAGTGGAATTTCTTGCTTTATCAATGGGGTTGGGACCATCAGTTGTGTTGTGCAGAAGTCAGGTTAATACACAGCCGACAGCCCTATTGGACAACTGTTAAAATTCATATTATGGCAAGAACCAATCAGCTAACTAAAGAAAAACGAGTGGCCATCATTACTTTAAGAAATGAAGGTCAGTCAGTCCGGAAAATTGCAAAAACGTTAAATGTGTCCCCAAGTGGAGTCGCAAAAACCATCAAGCGCTACAACGAAACTGGCACACATGAGGACCGACCCAGGAAAGGAAGACCAAGAGTCACCTCTGCTTCTGAGGATAAGTTCATCCGAGTCACCAGCCTCAGAAATCGCAAGTTAACAGCAGCTCAGATCAGAGACCAGATGAATGCCACACAGAGTTCTAGCAGCAGACCCATCTCTAGAACAACTGTTAAGAGGAGACTGCGCCAATCAGGCCTTCATGGTCAAATA